TCCAGTTTTGGTCCTGAATAATTGATTGTTTGTATAATTTCATTGATCTTTTTAACTTCACGCACACTTTTTTTTAAAATTTAAATACCTCTTAGAACTGAGATAGTAATACCAAACTAAGGGTAAGAATCAATAAAAGTAGTTGCTAAGTGTATATACATATATTTAAATGGACAGGCAATGAACTCAATGGAGGAAGCAATTTTAAAATAATGATAAATAATGTATATGCTTTGCTTTTAATATAATTTTATTATATATGTCATAATTAAAATTACTCATTCAAATGAACATTATAATGCATTTTATCCCTTGAGCACAAATTCAGTTATGCCACCGAGAGACGGTTCAGAAATAAAATGGTAGAGGGCTGCTCTCACCAGGGCCAAATGGCTATGGAAATGTCAGAGTAAGTAGGTTTCTGCACATAAACAATAGCGCATTAGTTATGCATGCCAGCTTCCAGTATTTCAATTCCTTACCAAGAAACATAGCTTACATTTTGCAATTCAGCTGAACAGGTTGAAAGAGACTCTAAGTGAGAGCTTAGCTACATCTTTCCTACGACAGAATGGGTGGACTGCAGGAGCACAGGGCCTGCCTTCAGGCCTGGTGGTTCAGTGTTCTTAGCAAATACGTCTGATCCTTCCCACCAAGAAAGATTTGTTTCCAAGAGGGCAAGCCCAAGAGTCAATGCAGTGAAATGCCTGCTTTATTCAAGATAATTTCCAGAGGTGGAGATAAACTGGGTGGGTGTGAACATACTTATCCCAGATTCCATTCCAGCCAGATGACTCAGAATTCATAAGGTTGGTGTCTCAGCCACACACAGGTGGTTTCCAGGCGATTCTAAATATTTTAATCCTGATGTTCTGATTAATTGAGCATCAGGATATCATACCTGGAAGCTACGCTGCTTCCTACCTGCCCTCCAGCTTCGGAGCTGGTGGAGGGTGAGGGTGGAGAAGAGGTCAAGAATCTCACCTGCTTGCTCTTTAGCAGGACAGAGCAAAGCAAGATGAGGGCTGGAGGCAGGGATGCTGTTTGTTTTCTCAGCTTGTTGATAAAATATTTGCAAAGACCAAAAGCAGGAGCTACTGAAGCTGAGCTGTGCTGTACAAAGCTTCCAACCAAATGCAGCTAACAGAGTGTAAAATTTTGGCAACATAGTTGAGCATATACTAAGTACCATAGCTAATACATATGTGTTGGTTTATTTTTGTTCTGCCTTTTATCAATTTGTTATTAATTGGGGCATAGGATCTCTAAGGGAAGCTTATTATTGTTTAAAAATAATGTGATTCCTAATTGTACAATCATTTGGGCTACTTCTTGGGAAAGATGAAGAAAGCTGAAGTTGTCCAGTTCTAGAAAATGAGAAGAAATTAAGTTTGCTTTTTACTAGTAATTGCCTCCTTCCCCCCCCCCCCCCCCCCCAACTTGCTGTGGTTCTGGGAAGGGAGAGTCTGTGTGATCTAACTGTAAATGATTAGGATTGATAAGCTGATTAATGATTACCCACTGGGAAGGAGGATTTGCCAGGTTTAGTCAGACCCAAACTATTTCAGCACAAGAAACAATAACAGCCAAAGTGCTTTCAAAGACCCTGATAATTGGGGGAATTTCCTCTTCTTTAATTGGATGCAAAGCCTAATAATACTTAATGTAGAAAAGACACTTAGAAAGTGAATTGCCTTCGTGTATCTGTCCCTTTATTTCCTTTGCAGGAAATGTTATTGTTCTTAACTTTTAGAACGGAGAGAACGGCTAATGAGGAGACATGTTTGGTTAAACTAAACAGGTGCGGTTCTGAAATGCTTATTTTTGACCTTCTACTTAATTTTTTAAATTGTTATCTCCCTCTTAGTGATTCATTGTAATACACATTTTTCATAAGGTGCCTTAGGCTTAGAAAACATATTTTAGTATTTCCTATTAATGCAGAAAGGCTGTTTTCTAAATGTTTTGTTCTCTTCTTTAGGATTTAAAAAATCAAACTAGTTTTGTAGAGCTCTTTCCCCAAAGTTCTAAAAAATTATGTGTTTTATAGTGTTTTGTTTTGTTTTTCACAAAATGTAGGAATGATTTGAAGTTTAAAATAAGGTGGTTTGGGGGGAATCCAAGGTGTCAGAGGGGTAAGTGGATGTTACTCTCACCTTCTCCCCGGATCAACTCAGAATTACAACTAAGTTATAGAAGAATCGACCTGAATAAGCAGCTGAAGACCAGCTAAACAGAAGCATTACCTCTAAGAACATACAGAAGAAGCCACTTCGAGACTGGTGGGAAGGGTGGAGATAGAGCATCGGCCTAGGGACTGAAAGGTCCCAGGTTCGATTCCGGTCAAGGGCATGTACCTGGGTTGCCGGCACATCCCCAGTAGGAGGTGTGCAGGAGGCAGCTGATTTCTCTCTCATCGATGTTTCTAACTCTCTATTGACACGGCACCAGAGTTAAGTTAGGGTTTTTCAAAATGCTGACACGCTGAGCTCAAAAGGTTCGCCATCACTGCTCTAGGGCAAGGGCCAATCTCCCACCTCTCCCCCACCCCATGCACCCCAACTGGCACCACAGTTGTGGTGCAGCCCCCCACACACACATGGCCACATCTCAGTCTGTTGTAGCTTAATGAATGCTACTGGCCTCACCTTGATGACTCCCTGGGGCTCCTCTCCACCACAAAGGTCTGTGGGCACCAGGAGGATGGCGCTGGCCTTGGGGCACCCTGAGACTTCTCCAGAGTGGCTGTAGACCCAGCCCTGGAGCTGGATTTGAATCTTATCAACCCTGTGGACACCACTCGCCCATACCTGGTGATCCCCTGAGAACCTACTCACACACTGGCACACACCAAGGACTCCTCCAGCGGTTTTGTAGGTAGCCTGAAGGATTCTATTTGGGATAAAATTGGGTACATTTGTGTATGTAATGAGATGAAACAGGTTCTGTCTGGATGCTTCTATTGATCTCAAGCTATTGGTAAGCCTGCTTTCAAATGGGAATGGATGTCATCTAATTTGGCTTCTCTCTATCTTTTATAAAGTATATCCTCATAAGCTGCTCGAAGTATTGTGCGTGACTGCGGCCATTGTCCTACTCATTTTCCTAGCCCTGCTACTGGAGTTAATCCAAGAGGACTTAGACCCTGTGACTTATGGCAGATAGATATTACTCATGTCCCATCTTTTGGCAAACTTTGATAGGTGCATGTTTGTATTGATACCTTTTCTCATGTTATCCTTCTCACGTACAGGGAGAAGCCTTTAAAGATGTAAGTCAACATTTATTCCAATGTTTTTCCGACCTAGGAATACCAAGGGCACTTAAAACAGACAATGGGCCTGCCTATACCTCTAGAGCTTTTAAAAATGTATGCTCTGCCCTCACTGGTTTGGCTCAGTGGATAGAGCATCAGCCTGCGGACTAAAGGGTCCCAGGTTC